AACAAGTTGTTGGGAATGTTTCTGTCCCATTTTGGTGTTTCATTCACTAGGAGTATTTAGAAGTAAATTCTTAATTTGCACATGTGGTGAAACTTCCATGTGGATGACTGAAAAAGGTGTATTTTGTTTTACTTTTTGCAGAAATTTTTGGGAGCACTTTCATAAATGCAGCTACCCATGTTTGTCTAATAACATGTCAGGGTTATTGTGACTATTGTTGAAAGCCTTACACTAGTCTTAAGAAGCATGAGCAAACTGTAATTGTTTCTTTTCTTTCTTTTGGTTTTTTTTGGGGGGGAGGAGGTTATATTACAATTTTGTGTAGCAGGTACAGTTGTTTTTGCAGACTCTTTTCATATGTCATAGATGTTTCCTATTACTGTAGCTAATAAAAAGGATTGTATAAATAATGTGTAAGATGCAAGTATTGAATCAGGATTGCCGGAATGTTTATTTCCATGTCTTTACAAGTTGATTCTTTTTCCTCGCCCATTTTTCCTAAACCTCCTTCCCTGGTTCCTGATTGTTGCAAGATAGGAAAATCCATGCTTTTCTGCTCAGAAGCTTTTCTTCTCTGCTTTCTGAGAAGGGTTGGGGGGGGGGGGAACACACAAATTTTCCACCCATCTACCTTTCCCTCACCAAGCATGATTTGGAGTTGGACTGATTTAATGGTGTCAGAAGAAATAATCTTTCCATATAATAATCATAGGGCTAATTTTGTTTCCTGCTCAGTTTTCCCAAGCAGCAATTACAGAACTAGTGGGAAGTGGATTTGACAGTTGCCTGCTGTCTCAAGCTTTGAGTAGCATTTAGTTTCACAACTCCTAGGGAGTGTTTATTTTAATTCAAAGGCTTGGCAGAGCTAAGGGCAGTGAGATGATATTAGCGTGCCTGGAAAGTCAGGAAGGTGATGCAGATTTACTTGGAAATTTCTTGCAATAAACATTATTGAACAAAGCGGGTGGGGTTTGTTTTTGTTTTGGATTTTTTTAGAAATGGAGATTTTAGTCTCTCATGTTTGTTAGTGGAAACTTTCGTGTTTCTCATGTGCAAACTTGAGATTGGATTTTTCTAGTCTATAATTAAAGTAAACTATTTAATCAACAAATTTAACAAAAGGTCTCAATAAAAGTACAGCTTCTAAAGGCAGAAGAAGTAATTTCTCATGGGTTTATATGATTAGTGTAACAACAAAATAATCTTCTTATCCTTTGTATAAAAGTAACCAAAAATTTCTGACTTGCTAATTCTAGAGATCAGGAACTTTGTCTTCTTGGGCTGTTTTCCAACACTTGGGAATATTCTACTTCTCATGTGAATTTTTTGATAATGTTATGCATATTTTGTGGAGAATTTATGCATTTCACAAACCTTATTTTTAATATTTTTTTAAATTCAAATCATGTGACTTTAGGAAAAAAAAAAATCCTCAACAACATGTAAGGAAAAGTGAATGGGAAGTGTCCTTTTTAAAGGTAGAGGGGGAATTTGGAATGATCATCCAATGCTGGTAATACAGGCAGACGTGGTTTGATAGTGCAGTGTGAGGGTACAACAGTTGAGATGACGTGTCACTGTACAGATATTGCCAGGGAGTAGGAGTGGTAGACATCTCAAGTGTTACTGAGAAAGATGCGAGACTTTTACAGCCCTACCGAACCTGTGAAGATCACTAATGATTCTAGCCCTATTAGCTGCATAAATTGGATGCTAACTGTCCAAACAGTTCTGTTTTCCAGATAGTAATTATAGCATATGTCATGCTTTTAGTCTTCTCTCTTCCTGTGGCTTACTGTGTATTTTGGCATACTGGGACAAAGACATGATATAAAAATAGTCTAGGTAAATAAAATTACTATGAAATATTTTATTTGGCAATTTTTATTTATAGAGAATTATCATACCCTCCATATTAAAAATACTGTAGAAGCTTCAAGAATGTCACTTTTGGCACCATGTTGTGTCTATCTTTATCATCAGATTTATGTATTTTAATGACCCAAAACTATGTGGTTAAATACAAGAATAGCTTTATGCTATTAATTTCACCTTGGCTGAGTAACCATAGAAAAAGTTTTAGGAAGGGCCATTATCAAAATAATCTTTTGTGAGCTGACCATGGGAAGCTAGGCAGTAGTGACCTTTTTTTGCCTGACATGCCCCATCATGGAAGGCTGAAGCCCCCACTCCTCAATTAGAGCTTTTCCAAACTAGAGGATGTGACTAGTTGGCAGAGGTGGACGCAAAGTGTCGGTCTGTGACTGACACCCTGTAGTTTCTTACAAATGTGAAGTGAGCTCTGAAAACACTGATTTCCTTCCTTCTGGCTTATTCCGGTTGGAGGCTAAATCTGTCAGATTTGGAAGTGATGTTAGGTCTTAATGACTTGCTCTGGATAACATTGAATGTGCCCGTTTGCAGGAATGTCTGCCTTTGTACTTGAAGTGTGGGATATCTGTATGAATTTTAGGGGTTTGGGTTTTTTTCTTTAGATTTTCTGCTACGTGGCTTTTGAGAGTCAGTTCCATCCAGATACTGCATTTTCTCCCTTTCATATGAAGAGAAAATTTTTTGTCTTTTTTCGAGCTTGTATATTTAGTTGTGTTGGCAGAATCAGCTTGAAGGTGGAACCAGTGATTTCTTCCAGTATGACTAACCCTAACCTTTCTCCACAAACATTCCTTTAATTAACTAAACTGATGCTAACTCATGATTCATTCCTTCTTTCCAAAAGAAAGATTGGGGGGGGGGGGTGGCCTTCTCACAGTATTTTTTGCTGCTTTGTGATATACTTCTTCTTTATTACAGGAACACTTACACAGAATGAGATGATATTTAAGCGCCTCCATCTAGGTACTGTGTCCTATGGAACAGACACAATGGATGAAATTCAGAGTCATATTATAAACTCTTATTCACAGGTATCTCATTTCATAAATTATTTACCTTTAATATTGAGGGGGTTTTTTAACAGCATTGAAGCATTGTTGTTACTGATTATGCTTAGAAATTTAAGATGCTATGAAAGTTCTTTCATTTGTAGGTATCTCTTAACATATATGATGAAAGGGAAAAATGTGAGACAGTACATAGTTCTCTCCTGATTCTGAAGTTCCTCATAATACCCACTTAAAGGAGTTTACTTTTCTGTTCCCTACTAGCAGAAATCTGTGTTAACCTGTCTGTGCAGTGTAGTCTTCCTCCTGCCAAATCATCTAAGAGTAAGCTATTAATTACTGAGACTACAAATTACGAGTAACTGTCCAGAAAAAAGATGAACAGTAATTATATCTTTGAAGATATTCATCAAGAATAGACATCGAAAAGCCATGTTAATTGGTATAACCAAAAAGTAAAAAAGTAGTTGTCAAAATAAAATTTATAAAGGCCTACCTAAAAAGTGTTTTTAAAAAAATTAAGATGATTGCAAACAGCAAAGAACTGTAGGGGGGAGAAAATGGAAAACTCCATGTTGCTTGAGAGCAAAGTGTTCCTGTGATATAGAAAAGTGCTTGGCCTGAAAAGGATGCAAGAGGATTGTGGCTCCCTGTCTGTCTGTGGGTCAGTTGTGGGATGAAGGAGGAAGATGGAATTCTGCAAGCATCACTTGCATCTCCCATGTATGTGAACTGTTTGGGTGCTTTCTGCAAAGCTTTCTAAGCACCTGATTCCACTCTGAGATTAGGAAGGATTTTTTTATTTATTTCTATTTGTTGAGACAAAAAAGAAAAAATGAGGGAATAAGTGATAGGTTAACTAATGTTTCCATATGTTGTGTACATTATGATAGTAAAACTATGTAAAAGTTCTTTTCCATAGTTAACTTGGATACACAAACGTGACTGGCTGACCCAGTTAAGTTTGTAGGCTGACCTCCTTGTCTGTGTCCTCATTTTCTCTTATAAAAGGATTGTAGGATCAACAATTAATTTGAATCTTTAGTTGTGCTGTGTTTTGAACTATGGCTACCTACTCATTTGCTTAAAATAAAAATTAAAAAGTAGCTGTTTGACACCACGCTGAACTCAGTTAATATTATGTAGCTTTTAGGAAGAGAGGCAGAAGGGAAAGCAGTGAATAAGCAATGTATGTTTGAAGTTGCAGTGTAAAAACTTATGTTTCTCTATTATTGCCTATCTAAACAGATCAACAAATCCACTTCTTGCATTCCTTTTCCTTGGATAAATCTATTTCAGCTTAATTCTTAGTGAGTATAGCCATGAATAGTAACTGAGATGCAATAATATGCCTTGGAAATGAGATATGGAGATCTTTTACCTAAAGATCAGCAGTCCAAATTTGGTTCAGAATGGGTTACTGAAAGTAATTGCTACCTGACTATGTTTATAAAAATCACCCAAACATAGTTTTGTTATAATGGGTTGTTTGGGTATCCACAGTAACAACTGTACCAATAACTAATGTTAACTGACAGTCTTGAGCTGGCACACCTAGCTCTGACTGAGTTTGACGACTAAGCATGAGTCTTCTAGAGAAGGCATATTCATTAACACTGGGTTTGTGTTTTGCGGTTAAATATGCTATCTGAAAAGATTTGCATGATTCCTGGAATTCTTATTTGCTTAAAGCTTTTACTATTTTGCTGTAAAATTTAATAAGTGGTAACCATGGTTAATTAAGTTTTTAATAACTCTAACATATTTGGCACTGAAATTTTTAAAAGAAGTGAGAAATGTGAGGGACGCTTTTTTTCTCAATTGTGGGAGAAGATTTCCCAAATCTAGGTTTGCTGTTAGTAGATGATGAAAAGATCTTTCTTGGAACTTCCTTTTTTTTCAGCTTTATATAATACTACTTGATGTTTAAATAATGCTTTAATTATGCATGTGTTGGTAGCAACTCTTTAAAACAGAAAAATGAAGGAGTCTTGGTAACAAAACAAGCATCTATTAAACAATTGTTTCAATCTGAAAAAGTATGGTGAGGTTTTTATTTAATCTATGATAATAGAAGCTGCCAGTTAGTTAGGCAGTGGT